ATGTTTTAAATGAGAATATAACATTATAACATGATATAAAACTCAAAAAAGTTGATTTGACATGATATTGCCCCTTTAAGCAAATTTATTTTCAAAATTCTAATTTGYGTATTTTCATGGTCATCGGAAAYGCAGCTAGTTAGGGTTGTAGGCTTTTCACATTGACCCTGCTGTGTAGTAGTTAAGACAAATACAGTGGGATTCTACGGATTTTTCTAAAGTACACATTGTGAAATCTGAAAGTGTCTGTTGTTTTGATTTGTGCTTTATGATAYTCAGGTTCACCCTAACCAATAAGAATGGCCGTGGCACCCTCACCATTCGTGATGTGAAAGAGTCYGACCAGGGGGCGTACACCTGCGAAGCCATCAATGCTAAAGGCCTGGTGTTTGGGATCCCTGATGGAGTTTTAACTCTAACAAATTCAAACCAGGGTACTGAAAACAACTTAGGAAATCCAAAGAAAGGAAGCAGTTGTAACAACCAACAGAGAGCAGACATGTGAGAAAAGACATGAAGTCTTTCGTCTTCTCGCTTCACTTTCAGGAAACTGCCCCAGTGGTCACTTCAGCGTGGATGGCCGCTGTGTCTCCTGCTTCTGTGCTGGAGTCTCAAAGAACTGCAGGAGCACCGGACGCTACCGCAACCAGATCAGCCTGCGCTTCACCAAAGARGAGGACTTTAAAGGCACGAAAGCTTTTTATGCACAAAGAAATCTAAACGTGTCACAGGTGTTACTTCACCTGAAGTGAAAAAAAATACCAGACCTCATTTTTAAACCTAAATTGACTGGAACTTGTTGCTTTTTCTTTTGCAGGAGTAAATGTTAGTTACCCACTCAGGCCAGGCACTCCTCCTCTCTCCTCCACTCAACTCCTTATTAACCCAGAGCTGGAGGAGTTCCAACTTGTTGACCTGTCACGCCGTTTCCTCAACCTTGAATCCTACTGGACCCTGCCTCGCCAGTTTCTGGGAAACAAAGTACGTATTAAAAAACCTACCATCCTTATTGACATGCAAGAAAATGCATTKTCTGCAAAAATRAAGTGARAAAACTGAGTGCTGAAYGCCTGTTGAAATTTATTAAAGAAACTGAACTGTGCTTTTTAAGCTGAACAGAGTAGAAATGCTAGCTAAAAGCTAAATGAGAAAACATTAACTAAAAGCTAAAAGCAAAAAGAAAAAAATTGTATAGGTCCTCTGGACGGGTTCTTCTCTAATGAAACGTTTCATCTCTTCTCCAAGAGACTTCTTCAGTGTGAGAGTTTCAGGAAAAATTCAGGCTTTTAAGCCCTGCCTCCATGTGACTGATACTCACATCACATGGCTATCGTTGACACCTAATTAAC